TAATTGTAATTTAATATATACCAACAACTAGCATTTTAAAACCATTATTTTAAATGAGCATATACTTTTCATAGATTATATGGTAAAAAATCTTCTTTAATTAGAACAATGCAACATGTAAATAACTTTAATATTGATCTTATGGTATCCAACTATTATCTCTATTAATATTTACTATATCCCCTCCTGACTACACGACTGACTGCACCAGATGGATGAACGAAAAATCAAATAGACTACATCCTCATAGACAAAAGATTTACACATAGCATAACAGATGTAAGCGGTTACAGAGGAGCTAATTATGACTGATCATTTTCTGGTTATTGCAAAATTTCAGATTAAATTGTAAAGAATGCGAATACAAAATACCAGAGTGCCCAAATTTAATGTAGAGCAGCTAAAATTTGAAGTAGAAAAGAAGAACTACATTGAAGAAATAGAAAAATAATTAAATGCAAATAAGCCAAGTGGTAGTCAATTAGAGATACAATTATTAAAGCAGCACATTTAGAAATTAAAATAACTTATTTTTAAAACTAAAATAATTTAAAGATTTATTTTTTGATAATTAAATAATGGTATAATACTTATGAAATTTGATCTATCTATTCATAATTATTCTTTGAAGGTACACAAAAAAATTATTAGAATAAATGCCGGGCACTAGTTGTTTAATATATCATAAAGGTAAAAAATAATTTTAATCAAAATTAAATAAGTTTATTCCATTTAAAACGAGAAATGCAAACAAAATGAAGTAATTAAGTTTTCAACATAATAATAATTCATAAGATGAATATCAATTGAAGAATATGATTTATATATAAATACACTACATACATATGATACTAGCTGAATTACTCATCGTTGCCGGGTTTAAGTATAAAAATCTATGTAACCTAGCAAGATTAAATTTTGTTTAATCCGTTGAAATTTAAATTAATTAAAATTATTGAAATAATATTTTATTTATACATATTAATTTAGTTTTTAAGATAATAATTATTATCATAACCTATAGGTTTCTAAAATGTGCGCCGCGATGTCTCTACAGGGACACCGCGCCATCATAAAATACTATCGGGTATAACATTTTCCTTATGATTAGTCATGCTATGGCTTGGAAAAGGGCGCCCTGAAAAAACATTAGATCAAAAAAGCCGCCGTGAGTCGAAAAAATTTGGGAAGCACTGTGACATAACCTATTCTATAAGTTATAGTTTTTAGCGACCGTAGCTTTGTTAGCGATAAGTTTTAGCAGTGAAGGTTTAAAATAAATGTTTTACTAATAGTTTTTCAAAATGTTATCTAAAAAAATTCTCTATAGACAATATTCTTCACTGATCTATTAGTAGGCAACAAAATAACCAAGCTACTGGGTGAGCTTACGCGTGAACAAGCTACGTAGAACTGCCCATGTGAAAAACAGTTTTCTCGCAAATCTATTCCTGCAAATTTGAGAGTGTGACCTTGGGACTTGAGAATCGTTTAAATTTTGAAGATCATTTGGAATTAAACAGATTCGTGGTACAAACATAGTTTCCCCTTTTGCACATCAAGTTAAAACTGTGGCTTCTACTATATTGCGATGTAAAATTTTGACCTTAAGCCTGGTCCTGTTGCACAGTTTAGGTGGTTTCAAATTTCGCAAAAACATAATAGGTATGCCCACACGCAGAATAAGCCTATGATGTGGCATATACGGTGGTTTCAATGAATTTAAAAATTCAACCGGATAATTAGTTGCATCGTCTATGTTGACCACCGCCGTATCTATCGAAGTATTTACTTTTTCTTCCCCTTCAAAAGACATCAGCAGTGTATCATTGATAGCCACCGCTTGGTAATTTTTTGGAGTGAGTATAACACGTTCACACAACCATTCCATAGGCTTATCATAAATATGAGCAATATCTGGATAAATTTTTGATATTAAATCCTGAACCGTAATTACAACAGTTACTGTGCACAAATTGTCTGGGATAGTTATCATTTCATTAATTGATGGATAATCACCATCGTCAATTTCAAGTAAAGATCTAAAAATCTACCAGAAAACTTTTCCTCTTCCACGTATACCCTCATATTTTTCGACAGTTTGAGTATGTATATAAATCTGAGGCCATAAATTAGATCTTTTAAGTCGTGAATTTATTAACTTTATCTGTTCTGGTCCTTTTTGGTATTACTGGTAAAGTCTCCAGCCCGCAAAACCACCCTTATATTCCATTGTAATTTGGTCCCGCACTATTATTTTTGTATTATTTTAAAACATCCGCAAAATTACTTTGTTTTAATACATAACAAATGGGAGTGACTGAAGTTGTTAGATTGAGTGTTAGTTTGAAGGTAGCATGGCAGTTCGACTATCCTCGAGCAGTGTAGCTGCGATTCCAGAAGATGCTATAACTAAGGCAATGTCGCGAGTACTTCTAACTTTCGCTAAAATCAAATTAATTAAGAAAGTTTTTCTTCTTTTTTTCATTTTTACACTTTTTAACCCTTTAACTTAACTTCCTTGGAGTTGAATTTTAAAAAATTCATTCATTTATAAACAACACAACAAAACATTTATATGCATATTTTTATTTTATTTTTATTTTTTTTATTAATTAAGAACTTCCAGTATAAACTATTATAGTTCGACAATTAAAATATTGATAGGATAACGTGATACAATAGCTAAATTGATAATTAAACATAATGAGCATAATAATTTAATAATAAATATGAATATAATATCAGATAAGAAGTAAATAGAACGGAATATTAGTGTATGTATTTAATAACAACGTAATATTAAAAATAAATGCCCTAATTAATTAATTATTAATAAAGCGGAAAGAAAAAAATTTATTATAGATGTTAAATCAGATAGGAATTTTGAAAGAGCTAAATTTAAATTTGAGTTTTGCGAATTAATGTTCGGTTTTGAATCAAAAGTAGCAGCAGCATATGACGGGATGGATTGAGAGGGATCACTGAGGAGGGACTTGGAGAATAAGTTTTTTGTGTGTGTGATATTTTTTTTGGAGTTGAAAAATTTGATTTTATGGCGATTTAAAATACTTTGATAGAACTGGCACCCCTTGAAGCTGGCCGTATGATTTTCGGAGCAGTGGACGCATTTAGCTGGACTGAAATGATCCTTGGTGCAGCTATCTGACTCATGAGCCTCGCCGCATTTGACGCAACGCGATGGATGATGGCAATAGTTTTGCGTGTGACCATAGTCTTGACAATTGAAACATTGCGGCGGACCGTATGTCTTTTTGTTCGGGTTTTCAATCACTACTTTCGTGTTTAGTAATGAAGTGATGTTGTAGATATGTTTATTATTTATATTGGGTTCGATGTCGACAAAAAATATTGGGAGAGGACAATTGTTTTTTTTACATTATGGACATTCCTCACTAGGTGTCACTAGGTATCGGACGATAAGGTACGAAGGAGTGGACTTACATGTAAATCCCTTGGGGCCGATGGTCTTAATTAATACATCTTTGAATGCAGAAAAGTTATTGATGTTCCTAATGTAGATAGGTGGAGCCGCAGGCTCTGCCTGGTCAGAAGGGAGAGATGAAGGTACAGTGACTTCGCAGGAAGGTGGAGCCGCATCGAACACAGTGTCAGTTGAGGCGAGAACAGCGAAACGGTTTGGTGAGGTGAAAGTTTTGGTCTTTTTCCCCTCGTGAAGAGGAGAATTTGGAGAAGTACTGGATAATACTCTTTTTGATGACGTCTTCGTACGAGGTAGACTTTTACCGGAACGAATCATAATATGATATACGTTGAAAACAAAAACGTAATTTACGTAATTAAAACACTGATAACGGAGCGAGCCTAAGAGCATGTGTTCATGATGAACGTTATCGCCAGACTGAATATATGCATATATAAACAATACATTTCATTCTCATAGCTTCAGCGGTTTTGGCTAAACGATTTTTCCCATATTTACACTTTTTAACCCTTTTAAGAGTTGAATTTTGAAAAATCCTTTCTTACGGATGTCTACATCATGCAACGAATCTAGTAGATTCGATCTACTGATCAAATTTCATACTCATAGATTCAACGGTTTTGGCTTAGCAGTTTTTTCTATTTTTACACTTTTCAAGCCTTTAGGGGTTGAAATTCAAAAAATAAAGATTATAGACAATGTTTATTTGTTTTACAGAGTATGTATACTTAATTTTAAAAAATTAGAACAAAAAAAAAACGTTTTACATTTTTATCTCTTTTACCCTTTTTAACCACCTGGTGGATTTCCAAAAATCCTTTCTTAACGCACTCCTACATCATAGTAGCTATCTGTAAGCTAAATTTCAGCCCAATCCGATCAATGGTTTGAGCTGTGCGTTTATTGCACAGTCAGTGAGCTTACTGTTTTATTTAAACAGAAGAAGAAGAAGAAGAAGATTAAGATTATTTCAACAATCTTAATTAATTTAAATTGCAATAGATTAAACACAATTTAATCTTGCCAGATTACATACATTTATATACTTAAATCCGGCAACAACGGGTAATTCAGCTACTAATAATAATAAAATAATACCCCGAAATCCCTGTTAAGATTATTATTCGATAACGCAATTTGTATAATTGAGCTAGTCGGTGTTTTCTATACAACTCATAAATAATAATATAGCCATGGAATAATTCATATCTACAAGCTGATTAAATACACACAAAAAAAGGTCAGAGTACAGGTAGATGGAAACCCTCTGGCCGCCGTGCCGTACAGTATTTCCCGTAATCGACCAACTGCTATTGTTATTATTATATGAATATAGATATACAAATTACATGTAAAAAATTGTTTTTACCGATTTCAACCCTTTAAAATCAATATTTCAAAATAGTAATACTTCATTATTTTTAAATTAACACAATTATGAAATGTTTAGCAGTTTAATTCATAAAATTTATTTTTGATCATAATAATTTAATTACATAGGTGTGTTACACAAAAAGGATGACAAAATATAAAATTTTTAGACTTGAAGTAATATTTGTGTATTGTTATTAAGTAAAAAAAAATAAATTCTAACAAAAGGTTTTTTGCAAAAGAGCACATTAGTTTCTTAATAATTATAATTTAAGAACATGCTTAGAAGTTTCATTTTTGATCCAATAGGAATATTAGGGCGTTAGTAATAGTATGTGCAGTCTTTCCTCTGGATCTGAAATAAATCATATAATTATTTAATAAATAAATACAATAAAATCACTTGATATTTAGATAATGCTTCGAAAAATCATAAAATTACCAAATAAGGTTGAAATATGTAGAAGCAATTAATATCCACGAGTATTTACCTTAAACAAATAAATACAATTATTAGAAAAAATTCTTATCAACAAACAGTTTTATACTTACAATATCATCAATTTTCAAAATACTACGAACGGTTTCAGAAGCTAAAGTTATAGCACTGATAGATACCAACAATGGCTGAACAACATTCTCTTCTAGAATATTTGTTATAGCACCCTGAAAAACAAGAAGGTATGAATAATTTCAACATAGTTCCATTAATATTCAATTTTAAAAACTACCTTTCGAACATTGATACCCGCAGTTACTTCTCCTTGAGAATGTCTATTACGTAACTCTGTAACTGTAGTTATAGGGTTAAGCCCAGCATTTTCCGCTAATGTTAAAGGTATCACTTCTAGAGCTTGAGCAAAAGCTCTATAACAATATGCATCAACACCTGTAACTAATCTTGCGAGTTCAGTCAATTTTAAACTGATTTCAATTTCAGGTGCCCCTCCGCCAGCTAACAATGCTCTAAAAATTATTAATATTTGAATTTAATATTAATTTAATGTAAAATCATAAATTTAAATAAATTACCTCTGTTTCACTAAGCATCGAATAACACATAAAGCATCATGAAGTGATCTTTCAGCTTCTTCCAAAACCAATTTATTAGACCCTCGTACTATGATACTAACTGTTCTACCGGGATTGTTAATACCAGTGATTTGAACAAAATGACTGTTTCCAGTCATGACATCTTCAACTAAATCTGCAGATACAAGATTTTCAGCAACAAAATGATCAAGACTTGCAATGGGTCTACAGTTTAATGTCTATAAAATATTTTTTTAAATATTACAGAAATATTTGAATAAAAAAAAAATTAAGCAATTCTTAATAATACCTTGCAAACATAATCAATATCTTCACGTTCGATATTATTAATAACCATGCATTTTATTTTATCTAAGAAGTGTATAGCCAATTCTGATAATGCATCTCGTAATATCGATTTTTGAATCAACAAAACGTTACAGCCAGCTTTTTTAATCTGCTTGACTATGTTCAAGATATAAGCACGTTCTTCTCGAAGAACACGATCCATTGCAGTATAATCAGAAACAACCACATTGTAATCCATCTAATTAAAAAAATATCAATAATTTATACAGTATTTTACAATTGCCTAATTTTTTAAGTATCCATTGAACATTTTATGAAATGTATTTGATGGAACGGATTAGTATACTCAATAATCGAATTCAATATATAGTGTGTAATAATCAGTAACTGAGAACACTTAATATCTTTGCATAGTGCCTTGAAATTTGAATTCTGATTTTTCGTTGATTTTTATGAAATAAAAATATGTATTTTTATGAGTTTTTAATTTTTTTAACTTGAATAGACAAACGCATGCGCTGTATAACTTTTTTTTCTTAAATGGCAACTAACTATTTTAACCACTAATTATTATTTTTTAATGAATTTTGGAAGTTAAACCAACTTTCTAAGTCCAATATTGACCAAGATACAGTAATTTAATTTAAAAATTTCAAAATGTGCGTATAAAACGTGTAAATATCACTTTAACAAATGGTAGTGATAATATCAAGTCTTAACAATTCTAGAATTATTATTTTCAGAGTTAGTTTAAACAATTTTTTCGATGGACACGTTTTATTTTGTCTACTATGTGGTAATTTATTTTTTTCAATGCATATAAATGCATATTATAATGATTTTAGAAGCATATTTGTGTATTTTTTAAAGCTATAAGTCCCTTCGCTTAGTAATTACTAATTAATGCCGGGTCCCGGCTTTAGTGCTTTACATTATTGTTACCGTAATATATTTCATTTTGATAAATAAGTGAAAATCACGGCTTATGATGCATCTTTATCTTGATAAAATCATATTAAGTATACCACGATTGAAGGTCTAAGGGCCAATATAACAATCTATACAGCCAATACACACTGAATTTGTTTTACTTATATTTTAATTGTAATTTAATATATACCAGCAACTAGCGTTTTAAAACCATTATTTTAAAATGAGCATATACTTTTCATAGATTATATGGTAAAAAATCTTCTTTAATTAGAACCATGCAACATGTAAATAACTTTAATATTGATCTTAATGTATATATTATCTCTACTAATGTTTATCTTAGTAATTTAATCAATTAAATTTGTATTGTATTCTTCCCATAATATATACTTATTGTATATAGTTATTTTCAGTTTCCACATAACTATTATTTATTTATAATATCATAAGGGTTTGAGCCCAATTATAATTGGGTTATAATCGGGCTCACCCGTTTAATCATAATATATAAATAAATACATTATGGGAAATTGTATAATGAACTATTAGTACATATCTTTTTATATAGACAGGATCAAAAATAATTAAAAATTAATATAATACATAAAATGTAAAATAACTAATATAATATGATTTATCAGAATACAAAAACACTTAAAAATAAAATGTTTACATAAACATAAATTAAAAATTTGTATTCAATATTAAATTTTATTATTAACATCAAATACATTTTTAATTGCATTATTTAATTTATAAAAGCTAAATTATTTAAAAACAAAAGTTAATTTACAGCCAAATATAAAAATAATACATCATTCTATTTCAATACCTATCATTATTTATTTATGGGCAAAATTAGTTTTTCATTGGACATAAAACAATCTTTTAAAATTATTTTTCGAACCAAAAATACCATGGATGATGTTAGCGTTATTAATGATAACCATTTCAATAATAACTCTCCCAGATAGATACCAATTGATGTTTGTTGAAGGGATCGCTTTATATCGTCGGGAAGTTTATCAACTTTTACTTCAATCCATGCTACAGGTAGTATTATTCCGTCTTTAAAATTTTTGAAATGTGATATACGATTGGCACCTTTAAGTATTATATTTATTTGAAATCGGGACCGACCTCCTAATGAGACTCCTAATTTAGAATGAACATCTACAAAGGTTTCATGTAACTCAGGATCTGGTGACAGCCCAAGAACGTCTTTTCTCAAATCTGGGTCACCAAGATAAAAATGTGGAAACGACATCATGACTGGAGCTTTACTACATGCTGAAGAATTAAAAACACCAGAAGGCGGACGCTCTTCTGAATTATAATAACAATCATTATCTGGATTCGTAATGGGTGTATCAAAAACGTTCCTAGGTGCTTGAAAACGAAATGCGGTCACTCCTTGTACAACTTCAATATCTTCTTTATAAACTAATGGAAATCGACGACATAGATCATTATGAAATACATAAAGTTTTGATTTACGACTTAATGTAGTTGGTGGGAACTGGGATCCATCACTACCATCTAAACGATTGCATTCTTCCGTTTTCCAAACGTCCAGTTTTTCTTTTCCATTATAACGAGTTATAATACCTAGTTCATTTAAATTTCCAACTCCACTGTGAATCGTTATCTTATCTAATGACTCACCTCGACGTGAAGTAATTATACCAAATTTAGATAAATGTGCATTTTTATGTACAGTTGAAGCTAGGCCTTTAACCATAGTATATATACTATCTTCATAACCCCAAAAATAGTCATCAACTTTTAAATTAAGAAAAGGTTTAACATTAAAATTAAACATATCAAAAGGTAGAGATATAAGTTCTTGAAATAGGAAAAACATCTCTGGAAATCTTGATATTAAAGTTATCAGCGGTAAGTTCAGGACAGTAATGGTTAAATGTTTAGGATCACCTTTAGACATTTCAGGTACAAATTCATTACTTCGCTTTTCTTGATAAGTAACTGTACCATTTTCATTAAATTTAATATTAAATCGTTCAACGGTTTCTTTATAAACAAAAGGCCCAAGCTCTTCAACAATCGGTGTATGACCATGGTTTAAGACGTCTTCTATATTAGTGTAGTTAAACGGATAAATAGATACGTATGGCTTCACGGGTGGATTTTGCCACATATTATAAGAAGAACTGCCTTCAGTTATGGTTACGAATTGTAAAATTTGGAACATATAAAATCCTGTGAACCACATAACAATCGTCAATATTCCACTAATGGCAATTAAAATTACTAATATAATAAATCCCGGAGGTACTGAATTAGTTTCATTGAGCTCTTGTTCTTTGGAAAACGAACGGTCACGTTCTAAAGTACCAATTTTAATAATACCACTATTGCAGAATTTTAATTTTTCTAGTATTTTTACTGTTGACCATCCACTGGAGACATTCATTTTCAAATCATTCGATTTATCACATGTTTCTTGCAGCATTTTGTCAAAATAAAATGCTATATTATATAATTAACTTATCACTACAATCACGGGATACCAAGAATAAAACGGAATAAATGTATTACTAAATAATATTTAACTTAAACACTGCACTACACTCACGGGCAACAAGAATAAAGTGGAATATATGTCTTCATTATTAAAATATATTTAACACTATTTCGTATTATTACAACAATTACAGTCATATTTCGATAAATAATAAATGTATACTGTGGTTAATTTCCATTAATATGTCAATCACTACGTGCTAAATAGATAAAATGAACATTGGACTTGATAAACATATGAAACTCAATAACAAATATACTCCCATGGTCGGATTAGTTCAGCATAAAAGCAATATTAAATCATATTTTAGACAAAAGATTATAAATTATAACTTACAAAGATCAAAGTGTATCGAACAAATATTTTTTTAGTGAACATTCATATAAATGTGTTATATAATATTTATCTAATGATATTATATCCTAATATGTACAATAATATTTTGGACATAAATATTCTATTATTCAATAACTTTTAAAATAGTAGGTACATTTTTAAAAATATGAACATATCCTTGATTCAATAATGTATATAAAAGAGATTATTTAAGAAATTATTACATAACAATGGACACCAAGAATATTTGAACTAAATAATTTGTAGACCTACATTAATAGTTTATAAACATATTATAAGGTTAAGAACAATGTTATCTTTAGTGCATCAAGCAATTTATTCAATAGTATTTATCGAGTAGGCACAAATTTATAAAACCAAAATGTAAGTCAATTATTATTAAAAAGTAAAAATATTTTCAATAAGTGTTGTAAACTCACATTTACTTTGGAAGCAAAACTTATTTACGGATATATATTTAACTATTTCACTATCATCTGTTATGGTTTAATTATATTTTATAAATTAGGGTAGACAAATTCTTTGATATTTTTTAATGTAATCCTGATGAAAATAAAACACGCAATAATTTTACCTTACTTTAACATACACAACATAAACATAACATACCAGCTAACTACGGCTCTAAGCCGCTAAATTTTACCACGGCGAAAACAAGAGTTTGCCGACCTTAGATTATATACTATAGAATAACATATAAATAGTATATGATTCACATATCCGACGAAATAAAACGGCATTATCATAGTAAATCTTAAGTTAGCTACGACAGTATTTTGGGCTTTAAACTTCGTTTTAAATAAAATACCAATAACTTCTAAACCTACCTAATAACAAATCACTATTTATTAATCAAAAACTAGATAGTAGCTACTGATGAAATATCACTGACAGATAAAGGATCATACCAGTTATTATAGTTAATACTTAAAAGATATATAAATGTACCATTATACATTTTTAAACCTAATAGCGAACTAATATTAAATCACATCATAAACTACTGCAAGAAACTAGAAACTATTGCATTAAAATAATATTTTTTAAGGTATAATCATAGTATAACATGCGTTTGTTTAAGTGTCATTAACATATTTCTTAACATTACAATTTATTTACTATCTTATGTAATACAAAAGTACCTAACTGTGCTTTACAATAAATAAATGATTAAATAAAAACACTGTACAATTTTGACCATTAAAATAATTTGACGTCATTGATTTTTCATTTAAACAAATAAGAACATTTAAATTAACAGGTTACCTAATAATAGTACATGATAAGCATAGTTACAAGCCTTGAATTTCAAATAATAATAATAAAGGATAAAATACTGTAAGAATTTAGTAGTATAATTAATGGAAACAAAAAAAATATTATAAATAAAGATTTGCCTAAAAATCATTATTAAATAATACTTTTATGAGAGACGAAGAGGATAAATCTAATAAAAATAAAGTAGATAAATATAGAATGTATTATAGTAAATACTAGAGACAATAATATTATATATTATAATAATTTTATAATTTTTTATTATACATAATATTATATAATATTATATAATATTATATAAAAATAAATTACAAGAAATAAGTCTGTTGAAGTATAAGTTCCTGAGGTTAAGATAAGTTATTTTATTTTAATAATACTAATTTTCACTATCCTAGCAATAAATTATTACAATTAACTATTGATAATTATTCAACTATACCAAAAAATGAACACTTCACAAATTATAAAATAAAAACCATTATTGTTCAACCAAAATATTCTTTACTTTAACAAGAATTTAAAATACAAAAATTATCATAGAACTAGTAACATTATATATTTTAAATTCTAGAAATATTTTATACTTGTAATTAAAATTAATATTTATCACCAAAGTTCTTTATGCTGGTAAAATATTTAATTTGACATGGATGATATTGAACTATATTTATCATGTATTCACTTGCAAATAAAATACCAACATAAAAATAATAACTATACTAAACAGTCATCCAAAACCAATAATATCAAAGAATACATAAAAAGAAGATACAATATTATAACTTTTCTGTTACCATAAATTAGGTACTATTTAATAAGATATATATACCATACAACAGTCCCATAATAGTATAACTAATATATTATTAAATTAACGTCGTACAGGTGTCCTAAGATTTATTCATCATTGATA